GGATTCTTAACCTCTGCGCCACCAGGGAAGCCCAGCCATAAAGTGTTTTTTAATTAACGTATGTGCGTTATTATCGTAGACATAATGCTTCTACACACTTAGTAGGCTGCAGTGTAAACATCACTTTTATATGCGCTGGGAAACCAGAGAACTCGTGTGACTCGCTCTGTTTCCGTGTTCCCTTTACTTCCGTGATCTGGAGCTGAACCCCCGGTAACTGCAAGGTCTGTCTGCACCTTTATACGGAAGGAAGCCTTGGGGTGCCCTGCTGATGTCACCAGGAGATCCTTTTACGTAGGGAGCATGTATAAATATTTCAGTTTACATTTAACGTTTTCAGAATGAACGCATAAGATACCTTCTCACTAGCTGATAAAGTCTGCCACCCTCTGCTGTATGTCACACCCTGTGCTGTGGACTTTTTTTTTTATTGGAGTCTAGTTGATTTACAACGTTGTGTTAGTTTCAGGCGTACAGCAAAGTGATATAGTTACGTATATATATATTCTTTTTCAAATTCTTTTCCATTATAGGTTATTACAAGATATTGAATGTAGTTCCCTGTGCTGTACAGCAGGTCCTTGTTGGTTATCTATTTTATATATAGTAGTGTGTATCTGTTAGTCCCAAACTCCTAATTTCTTTTTTATTTACCCCATTTCTTATCTCATTGTGATGTTTCAAGGCTGCGGTTGCCATCCATATTTTGACATCCAAGGTCACAGAGCTGGTTTGGTGAAACCGGGACCCCCCACCCGGGTCTTTCCGCTTCTAAGTGGCTGGTTTCCCTTTCCGATCACACTTCCGTGCATCTCCTCGGGGAGCGATGATCACACCTCCTGTCATGATTCCGGAGGCATCTAAGCTATGTCTTTGTCGTCTACGTCCTTGGCAGGTAACACAGCCTGCTTGCGCTTAGGACATGCTCTGGGGTGATTTATTACAAAGTGATGAGACAATTTAATTTGAATCAAGTTCTTTGCACATTATTGCTTCTATTGGGAAAAACTTGTAATTGTTTATCACGTTAGTGATGAGCAGGGAGATGCCGTGATCGTGGCAGGCGGGGCGTGTTCAGAATCGCCTGTTGGAGAAACGGCTCCCGTAAGAGCGCGTCTCCGTGGATTGGGTGGGTGCGCTCCGTGGGGACAGCCCGTCATCCTCACCCGTGAGATTGAGGTGATGCCGCTTCACGGGCAAGGCCCCCAGGAGCCAGGAGCCGTGTCACTGGGGGATGAATTGGCCACATTCATCGTCTCCCGCGCGTGACACAGAGCAGCCTTGCGCAGTCCGCCTCCCTGAGCACCGAGGTGGCGTGGGCTTCCCATCCCCTGGGAATTAGGGCTGCCTCCTGCTCGTGAGGGGTGGAGAGGGCTAGAGGGCAACACCAAGCGTTCTCCCGACTGGGATGCAGGAAGCAGGATTCAGGGAGCAGCAGCGTGTGTGGCTGCGAGCTGAGAGGTGCCCCACCGGTAGCGAGTGTTGGCGGTGACGGACAGATGACTTGGGGAACCCCTCCCGCTCGCTCATGGCCCACCAGCCCTTCCCAAGGAGCGGGCCTGGCCCTGCCCTCTGTGGAGTGGCCCTCTGTGCCACTCCGCAGCCAGCGCCGCCGTGGTGAGCTGGGCCGCCTGCCCACACCTGGCATCTCTGCCCAGCTGGGACACCTGTTGAGGCTCCTGGCATCCCCCTTGGAAGAGCCGACGGGCTCTCTGTGTAGCCTCATCCTTCCTGACTGGCAGAGCCCGGAAGTTTCTAGGACAGCCGCTGCCATTCGCCGTCCCTATAGGCCCCTCTTTCTAACAGCGTCCCGGTTCCCATCTCCATCGGGCTCTGTCACCGAAATGCGTTTCCATGGGGAGTGACGCACACGCGGCTTCTCTGGGGCTCCGTTTCCCTGCCCTAGAGAAGGCGAGATCCCCCCCACAGGTGCTCTGGGAGGAGCATTCAGAGGTGGTACATGTGCCGGCCTCTCTTCCAGGATCTTCCCCAGGTGTCCCCAGGCTGCCCACGTGGCCTCCGCTGCTTTAGAAAGACCCCCCTGGGGCCCTGCACCCTGAGTTCCGGCCGCCCCAGCCCAGATCTAATCAGCTGTGTTCACCACGCCCACAGCCCGCATTCAATATACCTTCTTACCACACAGACAATAGCTCTGAAATGATTTTGGTAATTTTGCCTTTGGACCCGTTTGCCTGTGAGTAGCTCAGTGCAGGAAGACCCCCAGCGGCTTCTGTGATTTCTTTGCCTTGAGCCACATACCCACGAAGTGTCTCCAAGTGAGAAAATCTGACTCGCAGGTAGTTTTCACATGCAAGGGTGCGTGATGGATAACAGAATTTAGCCAGTAATGAAGTTGACCCCATGTTCAATTTCAGAGACACTTAATTAAACGCAGGCTAATTTCCATGTTGTTTGCTCTTTGGATTTTGGAGCCAGTGGATTTTCTTTTCCAGCTTGCAAACATGTTTGTGGGGTCCCCAAAGCTTTGAGGCACTGGGGGCTGGGTTGTAGGGCCCAGTTGCCGAGAGAGCCCTGTTGCCTGCGCCCGGCAGTCCACAGCGCCCCTTCCGCAAAGCTGAAGGGGATCAGCGCTTCTGACCAAGGCACCGCGTCCGGCGTGTGTGCCCCTCCTGCACCCGCGTTTGTGCCTCATCTGACATCCTCTCCTGCCACAGGGCTGGGCCGGCCTGATGACCTGCAGCATCTCTGGCCAGCATCTCGTTCTGGTGCCTGGGAAGAGCTGTTACACCAGCAACAGCAGACTCCCTGTGTGAATTGTTGAGCAGGAAACATGGCTGTGGGACAGAGTTTCTGCCACATGCTTATGTCAGCCTTGGGCTATCCCAGCGGGATTCAGGCCTGGCCAGGAAAAGGCTAGTGGGGAGAGTGGTAGATCAGCCGCTTTCTATCATTTTGGCCTTCCGGGTGATACTAGGGGGAAGCATGGGCTGTCCTGGGCCTGCCTGAAGCTGCATTCCAGCCTCTTGCCACCCCTGGGCCTTGCTCTTGGTGTGCAGGCGGCCCACACCCACAGCCTGGTGTGATCGGCCCCTCCTGCCTCCCAGGTGGGCCTCAGAACTTTTATTCCTGTGGTTCCACCTCTGTCTGGAATATTCTCCTCTCCCTCTTTCCCTCTCCAGCCCCTCAACCCATTCACTCCTATTCGTGCATTGGTCCTCCTCCTACAGGAAGCCCTCCAGCCCCCTTCTAGTTCACACAGCACTATATCCTACACATTTGTGTGATGGTTGGATTCATATTTATCTTCCCACCCGCCAGGTGTATGAGCTTCCTGGTGCTACTGTAACAAATGACCACAGAGTGAGTGGCCGCAAACAGCAGAAATGTATCCTCCCCCAGTTCTGGAGCCAGAAGTCTGAGATCAAGGTGTCGGCAGGGCAGTGCTCCCTCCAAAAGCTCCGGGGGAGGATCTTCCTTTCCCTCTTCCAGCTTCTGGTGCTTGCCAGCGATCTTGGTGCTTCTCGGCTTGTGGCTGCATCCCTCCTGTCTCTGCCTGTCTTCACACGCACGGCCTTATCTCCCCTGAGCCTCTGTCTCAAATCTCCCTCTCTTTTCTCTTCTAAGGCCCAAGTCATTGGTTTTAGGGCCCTCACTAAATCCAGGACGAGCTCTTCTTGAGCGCCTTAACTAATCACATCTGCAAAGACTTCATTCCCAAATAAGGTCACGTTCACAGATATGGGGGGCTGGGCTTGAACAGAATTTTGGGATCCACATTCAACCCACTACCCCTGACATGTCCACAAGGGCCAGACTGGGTCTGGTTTGTTCCCTCCAAAAATGCCGAATAGCCATTCCCTCACCTGACACTTCAGGTGAAGTAAGGTATTCAGTAAGGAAGGGCTGCATTAATTTATGAATTAACGTGGTAGCTTAACCATTGGCCCCAGTTGCTTCTAAACTCTGGTTCTAGGCCAAAATGCAATCCCAGTGGAGCAGAGGGAAGAAATGGAGCTGTTTGACTTGTCAGGGTCACATCCCAGCCGGGATCCTGAGAGCCCGGCTGAGGCCATCTGGTCTACCCCAACAGTCCTTGTGTAAAAAATTAAAACGCCTGCAATGAGCCTTCCCACGTGAGACAGGGCAGACAGAGCCACCCCAGGGCCCCACCTGCTCATATATCTCAGCTGCCCAGGCCCGGCTTCCTGTGGCTTCAGGTTTACAGCTCCTCCAGGGTCAGACACCACTGCCAAGGGAGCCTGTTCAGTGACTGGCAAATCCTAAATGCCAGCTGTCATCACTGGCACCTGCTCCTTTCTGGACCCAAGCCAAGCGCAGCCTTCTCTGTAGGCCCATCATGGGGCCACAGTTAAGGCCACTTGAGGCCCGGCTGCCTGCGGTCTTGCCAGGCAGGCACCAGGAATGTCTTCAGGCCTGCCAGTGGGGCAGGGACTCTGAGGCCCTCTCTGGCAGCCAACCGATTTCCCACCATACTCCTGCCTCGCTCCATGTGTATTCGGCACACTCTTTCCTGCTGTGTGCATGGGGCTATTAGGGAGTGAAAAGACGGAAACCTTGCACGGTCTGTACTGTGTGGCTCCCAGGAGACTTACAACACGGGGTTGTGTCTGCCAGTGTGGATGTGGTTCTCTATGGATACCTCCTGATTCCACGGCAGCCCAGCCCCCAGGTAGACGGGCATCTATGGACATCTCTTGCATTCCCCGAGGCAGCCAAAAGCCTGCACTCCGTCTTTGCATGAACTCGATGAAGGTGGCTGCCCCTTCCTCGAGGCCCTTTCCTTCCAGCTGAGCCAAAATCACTGCAATAAACATATGCGTCTATGATGGCCACGATGTAATGGTGTGCTCCGTAGTTGTACTGTGCGCAACCTGAGCAACTGTACTTGGCTGGGCTGAACGCCCACCCCCTTTACCTTCCACAGCGCCCGTTAGAGGAATCTGCCAAAGGAGGGTACACTTGGGGTGCGTTAAAGTGCTCTCCTGCCCTGTTCAGAAAACACATCGGAAGAGAGCACAACGGGATTACAATTTTTTCTCGTTAACAAACACAGTTAGAATCTTACCAAGAGTAGATGTTATGGCATGTAGGGAGATTCAGAGAGAAAGGGGCATGATGTTTGCTCCCAAGGAGCCCACAGGTGATGGCTTTGAAGGTGAGAAGGGCCCCATCAGAGGCTGGGACAAGGCTGGAGGGAACCCCCGTAGAGAGATTATGTGATGGCCCCTTGTCAGGAGGGCTTGGGTGGACGTGGCCGGCAAAGGGAACGTGGAACAGAAGGAAGTGAGGTACTGCGAGGACGTGGGTAAATGATAAGGCCAAGTGGAGGGCGTTTCAGGGGAGTGAAACTGAGCATATGGAGGAGACTCGGCCGTGAGGCTGGGCTGCGATTGGGGTCCAAGGCAGGGGGAAGATGCAAAGCAAGGTGGGCGTGATCACTTTGGGGTTGGGCTGTTTGCGTCCCTAGGCCCCGTCCCCAGGGACCAGGTGGTGGTGACGTCTGCGTGCACAGCGCGGGGAGCAGCACGGGGACCGTGCACGTGTCGAGGTCCTGCCCCAGTGAAGTCAGATCTCGCGCGTTGGGGCTGCATCTGGAGGGCAGATCTGCTCGGGCGGGACCAGGGCTGGCCTGGGGCGGAGGTTCAGGCGGCCTCTGGTTCTCGGGGCTTCGGCACATCTCTGGCGGCAGCACACAGAAGCCACGTCTTCCAGATGCCGCGGCTGCCGTCCTGAGACGGTTTTTAGGTTCATAAAGCAGCCAAAAGAGCCCCCTGGGAGATTCTCACCTGGGGAAGGACCTGCCCTGAGGTCTGGACTGTGGGATTTCCCATTCTCATCCCATGCGGGTGGTCGGGCCATTCGGACAAAACTGGACATTTGCTCCTGTTTTAAGGGAATGACTCTCGTGTTGGAGTTTCCCATCGCTTCTCAAGGACTGCTACCCAGATTGTAGGTTTCTAAGAGCCCGGAACTGCCTTTCCCATCCTGGGCGGAGCCAGCTGCGTGCAGTAGGCCCTCCACAATGCTGAGCCGCCCTGCCCTCTGGGGACCGTCCCGGAGACCTCTTCACTCGAAACCCTGCGGTCTTCCTTCGGCCACTGCCACCCCAGTTTTGCACGCCTGCGTTCATGCCCATTTTGCTCCATTTCACGTGGCCCCGTGCTGGGTAACCCCAGAAAGAGGTCACTGTCTCCTGGGGGGTTCGGCACGTGGGGATGCTGACAAGGGCACCTTCCCCTGTTGTGAGGGCAGGGGGACTGCCCTCACTTGCTCTCAGAGTCCTTGCAAGGCAGGAATTACTGCTCCCACATTGCAGGTAGGGAAACTGAGGCTCTGAGAAGCTAAGCTGGTGAATGCCCAGGTTGGGATTCAAACCCAGGTCTGTGTGTGAATGAAGGTGAGATGGGGTCATGACGGGCAGGGGACCGGGGGCTGTTTAGCTACTGAACTAATGCAGGAGAGAGGAATTCAAGCTGCCTTTCTTCAGATCAGAGACTAAGGAGTCGGGCGTTTTCAGGGTGAGCAGGACGGCGTAGCCACACAGCACGGGGCCAAGACAGGCAGCCATGAGCAAGTCGTCAGGAACCGCTGCGAGGTTTAAGAGGGGACTCAGGAGAGGGGCTCTGCCGTTAGCCTGGGAGGGGTCCTTACAGGAGGAGGAGGGGGTTGGCACACGCCAACGATGACCCCGCTCGGGACAGTTGCTGTTCTTAACACGTGCTGCGTACCTGGGCTCAGATGGATTGCTTTGCTGACTCCTCGTGAAGTCCTCAAGGCGTGCCTTGCTATTATTCCCATTCTGCAGAGCGGGACCCTGAGGCTCTGAAGGTCAGAGCGACCTTGGGGCCAGAGCAAAGCCAGGATCTGAGCTGAGCTCTGCGTGACGCTAATGCCTTCCCTCGCCCACCACGGTCAGTAGGGAGGGAGGCAACCAGTGGCCGGCCAGCCACACTGCCCCTAACAAGTTCCCCGGCCTGGGGGACAGCTGGAGGGTCCAGCTGAAGGTGTCGGGGTCGCCTGCCAGGCGGGCGGAGCCGGCCCATGGTGAGGCCGTGAGAGGGGAGAGCGGGACAGGGTCACCTTGGAGCCGGGCAGAGGCAGGCGTCGGGGGCCACATGTGTCCCCAGGGGGACAGGCACCATCCTTCCAGAGTTTCAAGGGGCCGCTCCTGCAGGGGGACGTGCAGCTGCAAAAGGTGTGGCTTCAGCAGCCAGGCCCTTGGAGGCCTCTCGCTGGAGGAGCAGGTGGCGGGTTTGCACCTGCCCAGCCAGGGCACCCTCAGGCTTGAGAAGTTCAGAGGTGGGGAGGAGGGGTGGTGGGGAGACAGTCGTGTCTGTATTCTGGTCGGGGAAGGCACGGGATGGTAAGGCGGACAGGCCTGGTGGAGGGTCCACTCCCCCCAGAGCCCCGCCCACCAAGCCCCTCCCCTTCCGCTCCTGTGGTTCCCGGGTCCTGGCTCCCCGCCAAGCGGCAGTTAAAGCAATGGCTCCCTGGGGCCCCCTGTACTTGGCAGGCTGAGTGAGTGCCCAGGGACTGAACCCCGGCCCAGGTTCTGAGAACACCCTGGACCGGTCATCCTGGATTGTGTGGTCTGCCTGTTGTCAAGGTGTATGTCCCTCCCTGCTTTCCTGGAAGGCAGGGTCACGCCCACGAGTTCCTTTGTGTGGCACCTCATGCAGGGCTGGAGGGCTCAGCAGCGGGTCCGGACACCTGTGTGTCCTCCGGCTGCGTCCCCCACCTCTCGGAAGCTGCCCCGGCTCGTCCGTGCTGTGCGATGCTCTCGGCTGCTGGCCCCTGCCGGTCCACCCTACCTGGGTTGCAAGCGGGGGCCAAGAGCTTCCTGCAGGAGGCGAATCCAGTGCTGGGCAAAGCTGACCTTCAGTCGTCTGGGACTTCGAGCCCGTCCCACCGTTCGCCGTCTGCATCCCCAGGCCTCCCCCTCCAGGACAGAGGCCTGCGGAATTGTTGGGGGCCCGCCCGCTGGGGCCCTTCCGCCTCACCCTGCCCTCCCACGCCAGCCCCTTAGGACCCTGGAGAAAGCCTCTCCGGGCTGCCTCCTGCCCCTCCCCTGCAGCGGCCCTGCCCGCCCCCTCCGACTTACTTCCGGGGCAGCAGGGAATCCTAGAGGGATGCAGCCCCCGGAAGGTGGGCGGGGTGCCGGGAAGTCCACCTCGGTCCTGCACCCGGTGCCGCGGGCGGTTGATCACGTGGCGACGCGCCCGTACTCTGGATGGTGGGAGGCTTTGGCCACCGAAGCAAAGTTGGAGCTTTGGGGTTTCTTTCCTTTAAAAAAAAAAACAAAAATTCTGTGCCAAGAGGCAGCTGGTGTGGCTTTAGACTGTGTCTCCAAGGGGGAGCTTGCAGCCCCCTTTCTCCCCGTCCCCACGCCAAAGGAGGCCGGGTTGTCAGTGGCTCCCGTGTCACTGGAGTGACCTGCCCCCGCCCGCCGGCCGCCCCCTCCGCCGGCCTGCGGTTTCTCCGCGCGGGATGACGCCCGGCCGCCGCCGCCGCCGCCGGTGGCATTGTGGGCTCCGCCGAAGACCGAGGGGGGCCCGCGTTCCCCCGGAGCAGAGGGAGGGGTCGCCGCGTCTCCCGGTGCCTGCGGCTGCAGGGAGCACAAAGAATGTGATGTTTTTTTAAAGCCCTTCGAGAAGAAGAAAAAAAAAAAAACAAAGCCTGCTGCCTCCTGTCCGCTCCGGCTGACTTCCTTGCGCCGCCCTGGATGCTGCCTCCGGCCCGGGCTCCGTAACGCGCGGCCTCCTCCGTGCCCGCGGGCCACTTACTTTCTCTGCTTTCCGCTGCCCAGAGCCAGCCCGCGCTGCCATCACCATGTATGACTCCTGCCTCCTGCTCGCTCCCGCTCTGCCTCTGCCCGGCCCCCCCCTCCGAGCCCGCCTATCCCGTTAGCCTGCCCCCCAGCTGCCTTCACTCCTCCTGCACCCGGCTTGCTTGCCTCCATGCTGCCTGGATCCCGCGAGCTGGGGTGATTAATTGGCTATGATGATGAACGTCCCCGCTGGAGGATCGGCCACGGTGATGATGACGGGCTACAGTAATGGGCGCTATCCCCGGAATTCTCTCTACAGTGACTGCATCATCGAGGAGAAGACCGTGGTCCTGCAGAAGAAAGACAATGAGGGCTTCGGATTTGTGCTCCGCGGGGCGAAAGGTAAGAGCAGCGGCTCCCAGCCTGGATGCATCCACATGTGTGTGTGTGTGTGTGTGTGTGTGTGTGTGTGTGCACGCCTGTAGAAAAAATGTTCCCCGGCTCAAAAAGAAGCCCTTTTCCTGGGGGTACTCGGTTGCTAGACAACCATGTTCTTTAACATTCTGCCTGTTAAAACATCGGGGCTTCCTTTAGGAATATTTTTAATTTTCTGTACACAATATTGCTCGCTCTCTCCCCCCCCCCCCCCCCCCCCCCCCCCCCCCCCCCCCCCTCCCCCCCCCTCCCCCCCCCCCCCCCCCCCCTCTTTTTTTTTTTTTTGATTCCTTGGTTTCATCTATGTTTCATGGTTTAGTTCAGCCTGATTGTGGCTGGCTTCGGAGCTCCTGGTCTCAGACGCCCAGAATTACCCGGTCCCGAGTTTCGGGCACCTCAGAACTGCCCCGTTCTGGGAGTGGGCCCCAGCTCCGAGTGCGGCAGGCGTGCGGGTGCCCGCCTCTAAGGTGACTTTGCAAGATGGTCCCCTCCGCCGTGGCCCAGCCGGCAGCATACGTGTCACGTGGCCTGCAGTGAGGGCTCCAGGAACGTGTTCCACGGCAGTGCCCCCACTGCCAGCCCTGAACTTGGGGTCTTCCCTTTCAGAATAAAACAAAATGGCATCATGTCCCCGTGAGAGGAGACATCTGTGCCCCGCGTGTGTGGGGAAACCGTGTGCAAGTTTGATCTCGGAGCCTCCATGCCACGCTGGGGGTCCCGCACCTGTGCTGGCCCGGGAGGCCTCCTTCCCCGGTGGCAGCCCCACCTGCTCAAGGCCCGGGCTGCCCTGACAGCAGCTCGTTCATAGGGAGGGAGAAGAGATACAGCTGTCCCCCCCGTGTGTGTCCATGACTGTCTGTGTGATGTCTCCCCTCCCCCGACCGAGGCCGTCTTCCTCTTCCCACCCGCCACCCCCGGCCTCACATGACCACCCAGGAAAGTCCACCTCTTCCCCTAGAGTTTCCCTCTGCAGCTCTGGGGCCCAGAAGCCAACGCTGGCTCTGCTGAGGAGTGGGGGCCCAGCCCTCCCATGGACGCTGGCCGCACAGTGGCCACAGAGAGCCGGGCTCCCAACAGAGAGAATTCACAAGCGGATTCCAGATCTGCAGCCACCCACTGGGTCAGCGTTCTGTTCTGTCCACGCTCCAAGTTGAATTCCCTTGGTTGCGAGTCTACGTAGATGTAAATTTGGCAAGCAGTTCAGTGTGGTGTTTCTGTAGCTCCATGTGGTTATGGGGGGAACTTTTCCATTTATAGAACTGAAAATGTTTAGTCACTGATGCTTTTAAAGAAAATGACAGGCGTGTACATACAGACATGGACAGGGGAGCACGTTATCCTGTGTTTTCAGCGCAGAGGCCAAGAGAGATGTTGGTGGCACCAAAATGCAGTTGGCTCCGTCGCTTGAGTTGGTGTTGACCCGTGACCAGGAGTATCAGCCCCTTCCCGGGGGAGAGCTGGCCTGGACCACCCACTTCCCACGGAGATACAAGGGCCTGCTTTCCCCCAGGGTCCCGTGGGAGGCCTGGGCTACCAACTTGGAAACATCTCCCAGGCTTGTAATGAGGTATACCTTGTCTTCCCAGCGGATACGCCCATCGAAGAGTTCACGCCAACGCCAGCGTTCCCAGCCCTGCAGTACCTGGAGTCCGTGGATGAAGGTGGGGTGGCATGGCAAGCCGGACTGAGGACTGGGGACTTCTTGATTGAGGTAGGGACAGCGGTGTTCATATCTTTCTGCTTGGGGAGAGTGCCGACTCTCGTGGGGTTGGGGTCTGTGGTCTTGGCAGCATGGTCATTGGGCCAGATCTGGGGGCAGGCACGGAGGCTGCCGTGGACCGGGGTTGCTTGGTTATTTCCACCCACGGTGGATGCCATCTTCTGAGGACTGTGTGTTGGGATTGTCTTTGAGACTGTAGCTTTATCTCTTTGGAGGCTTGAAATGTATGTAACTTGGCCGTTGGTCTTGAAGTAGGAGGTAGACGGAAGAGAAAGATGGGTGTCGGGGACACGCGTGGATGTGTGGTTGTGACTGTATGAATAGACCCAAGAGGAGCCATGGCCCATTCTCGTGTCACGAGGGCAGGCTGGAAACCGCTGTACTATGGCTGTTGCTCACGTGAGGTCTGTAGCGTTGGTGGCTGAGAGTCTGTTGATTTTTAAGTCGAAGTAACTGACAGGTTGGATGGATGATGGCCTTCCAACACCAAGGAGCCTGGGCAAGATGGGTGGCTGGAGTTGATGGTACAAAAAGGAAACTTTTAAACTCAGACGCTGGGAAAACTAGCTTTTGCTAGTAGGTGAAAGGAGGGAGAGTCCTCTTCGTTTAAAAAATCTCACTAGACGTGAGTGCCCGACTGCTTCAAGCCTCACCTGGAGTCACCATGGTGGTGTGTCTGAGGTACCAAGCTGCCGGCACACTTGAGCTCCCTGCCTTTTGCACGTTTAGGTGTTACTTTCAAAGGAATGTGTTACCCTTTGGAAATATCAAGAATAAAAGACTGTGTTATACCTTGAAAAAATTATTTCTAAGAGGCTTGGTAAGCTCAGATGGCCCCCGTTGGGAGTTCATGTTTCTTGCAAGAGCATTCCTTAGGGCTAACCCTCAGCCCTGTCTCATCTGCTCTGGAAATCCACCTGTAGGTGGAAAGAATGGGTGCATGGTGTCCAGCCGGGCACTCGGTGCCTCTGCCGTGGGGCCGGCCAGACACTTGTTCGTTCTGGAAAGGAGGAGATCCAGGCCATGGCGAGACGGCAGCTTAAAGCCATTTCTCTCCACGATGCCTAACCTTCCAAGGGTGCTTTTGGAGCTGCAATTCTACTCATGATCTCCTTGGTGTTTCTGGAGACTATTAGAGTGCTGGAAACCCGGAAGGAAAGATGCTGTTGGAGGAGAGAGAGCCGTGAAACAGAAGGTGCTTTACCTTATACCAGGCATCGTGCGTCAGTCTCACTGTGTGTGTTGAAAGATGTATTTAAGTTACTACTGACCAATCAGAGCCTGGCTCAGATGAAGAATTGCACTCCCGTGGATTCTCGTCCACTGAAACTGTGGGATGCGTACCCAGCATGGTGGAGACCGAAACCCGCTGTGGTTTCATGAGTTAACTCGATTTGTAACCTCATGAAAATGCAGAGAGACTGGGTTGAATCGTCTTCTGTAGGTTGCAGTTGTGATGTAAGTCCCCTTCGTGTGTGTGTGTGTGTGTGTGTGTGTGTGTGTGTGTGTGTGTGTGAGAGGCAGAGACAGAGAGACTCCAGTAAGTTGCCATAGCTGTTGCTGGTGTTCGGTTTTAAATAATAAATGAGGGCTGCAGAGGCAGGAGCTTCCCTGGTTGTTAGGCTCATCAGATTGTTTCCTTGATAAACTAGTCAACAAAAGAAGCGTGGGACGGCCGCAGAGCATTTGCTGGGCCCACCCCTCTCCCAGGAAGCAGAGCTGCGCTCGGTTGGCGGACGTGTCCGCAGCGCACACCTGGGCCAGGTAGAGAAGGCATGCCACCTGGTCGGATGGATGGAAGGCTCCATGGAAATTAGGAGCATTAAGAGTTTCTGCTCTTCTGTTTTCCAAGCACCTCGTCTGACATTGCTTCTAACCTCTGCTGTGCAAACGTATTTGCCACTTTGGAACAGCTTTTATATTCTGGGCAGCCTCTGAATTCCAGGGTTCCAGGAATGACTGGCCCTGAGCTGCCTTAAGGTTATGTCTGTCTTATTATGTCTCAAATGACCTGAAGGAGATGTGGGCCCCAAACAGCCCCAGGCCCTACAAGGCTGCTCACCACGGGTCCTACTCTAATGGGGAACACAGTGGGCCGGCCGGTGTGTGTGGTGGGGGGCCCTGGGAACCTCGCTCCTCCCACTTCATTCCAAGGCTGCCTCATGGGGCTCAGAAATTCTCCTTTAGGAGCTTGGGTGTAAAGGACTATCTCCACTGAGTTGTTTTCCCAGCTGCCGGATTCCGCCCCTGGAATAGTAAAATCATTTACAGCCTTGTAGGTGCATGTTTTTTCCAACAGAAGATTTTTCTGTTTTTCAGTGAAAAGCTTCAACCGTGGAGGGATTGTTTTAGACAGACTCACATGTCTTAGGTGGATCTTTGTTTTGACCGGAAGCCATCCTAGAGCCTGGGGTTTCTGGGCTCTTGGTCAAGTGCAGGGTCCTGTTTGGAAGCTGCCCCGAGGGCAGGCAAACTGTCCACATCTCCCCACATCCCCGCCCCCCCCCCACCCTCCCGCAAGCCTTCCTTTCTCTTTGCCATTGGAAAGGAACTCAAAGCGGGTCCGGTTTTTACTTTCACTTTAAAAACGTGCGCTGCAGCGTGAACTCTGGGACCAAGAGGCAACTTCTGGAGTGAATGTTCACTCTTCAGAATCTTCAGCAGCTACTGGATTTCATTTTTCCTTCTTGGACTTTGACGCACACACGGTCATCTTGCCGGCGTTGACCCTGTCAAGGGTTTCCTTTGTGCGTGCATTTCTTAGGTGCTCGCCCTCTAAAATGTGTATCTCTCTGCCTTGCCCTTGGGGAGGAGTCTGTCCTTTTGTTGTTGGTATTGTTTCTTTGTTGACCACGCCCCTCCCTCCTGCCAAAAAGCCAAAGGTCTGAATGAAGTTCTGTGGAAAAGGCTATCTTCCAGTTGGGAATTACCATGAAATAGATGGGCCCTGGTGTGCCAGCAGGTTGTCATGAAACCTCATCTCAGGGCTGGAGAAGGGGAAGTGGGCACTCCGTGCATGGAG